AGAGAGAGAGAGAGAGAGAGAGAGAGAGAGAGAGGATAACAAACATTTTTAATTAATTTTGCGAAATAAAAAATATATTATTAAAATATTTGGTAAAACATTAACACGATTTGATTGAAAAATTATTGTTAAAATTATATGAATAGAAATTAGTTAAAAAGTTATTTTAAATACTCAATATTAGAATACTATTCTAAATATTGCTACAGCTTCATTAATGAAATAGGTAAGACAGCTATTTCTTGAAAAAAATGGAAGGTCCCAGGTTCAAATCCGCCTGACGTAGTATTTTTCCTAATAAATTCTTTACATTGTTCTAAATTACTTATAGCATCATTATTGAATTGAAGATTATTTAATTTAATATGTAATTGTTTTTGTTTTAAGTTATGGTTTTAAAAGACCGACGGAAATCACTGCGCAATTTACTAGAGGTAAAATTTAAAAATTAAAAATATTAATAGCAAATAATATCTATCCTCAAATGAATTTGGTGTTTTTTTTCATTTATTTATTAAATCAGAGATATATTAAATTATATATTACATATATGTTAACATTTATCCTCACCAATGCAGTTTCGTGGACCTTCTCCGAATGGTAAATAAGTGTAAGGATGCCGTTCTTCTATTTTGTCTGCGTTGAATCGCTCAGGATCAAATTTATCCGGGTCTGGGTATATCGACGGATCTCGATGCAAACCAAGCACCGGTATAGTTATTAATGTCCCCTTTGGCACATGAATGTTCGTTGTTGGTAAGTTTATTTCCTTGGTGCAAATACGATTCAATATTGGAACAGGTGGATATTTTCTCATAGTCTCTGCAATATATGTAAAAGAAAACTATGAAGGTTTTTTTCTAACACAGAAACAGTTTATTGAAATAAGTAATAAGATACCTTTGTGGAAAAAAAAATCGTTTCTTCTTTATTGAAAATTGCATCTCTGAATAAGTGGACTACGTGAAAATATACTTGCCATTTATTACTTTGTGAAGATATGTTATTTTATTCACAGAGTCATAGGTTAAATTGCCATATTTCATCAATATTTTATCGATTTCCTTGCGCACTTTTTCTTGTATATTTTGATGTAGAGCTAATTCGTACAGAGCGAATGTTGCTGTCGTTGCGGAGGTTTCGAAGCCAGCTACGAAGAAGGCATAACTTTGCGCAGTAGCTTCC